ATGTCAACGAAGCCCCAAAATTTGATGCTTTTGCTCAGAATGCGCTGACAATTACAGAGATTGCTCAACTGGACGACGGTATTGGTGGAGTTCTACACTATATGACTCCTGGCGGCAAATTTTTTGGCAATAATTCCCATGACCTCCTTCTCGATGGGACGTATGACTTTGTTTTCGGTGACTTAGACTTTAGTGTCTCTATGAGTGTGCGCACCAAGACAAACGGAGGGAACAAATTGCGTCTAGTTGGATCTATGGAAAGTGATTACTTTGATGTATCTATAGGAAAGTGATTACTTTGATGTATCTATAGGATGCGGCGGAAAACTAAACGTTACTTCCAGCTCTTTTCTCATCCAAGGACATCAAGTCCTGTCCGACGGCGATTAGCATTATATTGCAATTATTTCTGCGATAAGTGACTAAACCCTTAGAGTATATATCGATGACCGTCTCGACGCTACCGCTTTGATATTCTGGGGATCACCAGTTATCGCACAGCAAGCAGTCCTTTCATCGCAGCTAGCACTGTTTACAGGATGGATCACGCGGTTTCACATTTTTTCTGGTGCGATAGCTCTGGCTCAAGTGCAAGAACAAGCGTTATATTCAGGTACGAATGCCTTTATTTGAATTGCGTTGCATGATCTTTCGACTAATATTTTGTTGTTGAATGAAGTTCCTAGTTTCAATGTCGTAGCAGATACGGGTGTTAGCGGTGTGGATCATGCCAAAGGAAATGAATACGGCGCTGGTCAAGGGTTACGTCTGTGCGACTTGATGGATTTGGAGACACTTTGTATTGATCCGCACTACAGTCCTGCAACGTTCCCGACAGCCAGCCAAGGTTCGATAAAGGTATCACCGTGTTCGAATAGTGCTGTGAAAGCAGAACTGAACGCAGGCAACGCCCAACTCGCGTGTTGTACACAATGTAAGTTGCTATTCTCCGTGAGACTTGTGTGCTTCACTATTTTTCTGATGCTTCTGATTTTTTTTTTTTTTTTAGATTCTGACAGCAAACTTATCGGTAATTCATCGCGTCCAATGCTCAGGACAGATGCTCTGACAGCAAGTAGCTTTCTTGATAACAGAAAAAGTCACGGTTACGGATACGATGGACTTGGTGTCCTCCGTAGTGACAACGTGGATGGATCGTGGTGTCCTCGTTCCAACTCGTCTTTTTGAATGGGTTCAAATCAGCTTTCCAAAGGCGACGATTGTTTCTCGAATTGAAGTGTATCCAGGAATCGATTACAATGGCAACATTGGGTACTTGAAAGCGTTTCAGGTAGTATGGCGGCGCTCAAGCACTGAAGAATTCTCGGCTCTTACGGATAGCTCAAACACAGAGATCAATTTTGCGGCTTTAGACGGTAGTGCAAGCAACGGGGTGTCGGCTAATGTCTTTCTCCCTAATGTGAATGCTAAGGACATTCGAATCATTCCTAGAAGTTGGCGTGGTAGTCCATGTCTTCGTCTTCAGCTGAATGGACCGGATTCAGGTATGCCATTTTTTGTGATTGTTGATGATATCTAACGAGTTATTGAATAAACCTATTTGACAGATTTTCAAGTGCCAGGCCCACTTACAGCAACTGATGAGGATATTGGTCAAAGCCTACGATACCATCTGCGCGACGTAGATCGACCATCAGGTGTTCAAATTGATCCTGAAATTAGGATTTCTCACGGTTCGTCGACGTTGGATTGACTTTGAAATGCAGCAGTCGTTTCGATTTACGGCAGAGGTTTATGACGATTCTGGACTTAGTGACAGGGTCACTAGCAAAACTGAGGTCATCGATGCAAACGACGCTCCTTCATATGCGTCGACATCTTATGTACTGACTGAACATTCTGGTAAAGGCTCCGTAATTGGCAAGTTCGTGGCAGAGTCGATAGAGTCGACTGAAAAACTGAATGTTCAAATTGTTGATCCTGATTGTCCTTTTACAGTTGACCGTCTTTCTGACAAATTGATCGTTCAAACTCCCGGCAAGTTTAATTTCGAGATAAATTCA